TGTACGCGACGGTGGTGATTCGCGGAGAGATCCAAAGAGCCGGAGGGGGCGGCCAATCGAGCGTCGTCATCGCGACTACAAAAGTCATCGCTCGTTCCGCCGTCGACGAGGCGCTCGCTCGACGGAACATCGGCGGGGAATCGCGCTCGTGCTTTGATCGACGCGCTCGTAATGCTCGCGCGGTTAAATCGGTCGCGGGCGAGGAGGTGGAAGAACAGGGGGCGACGGGGGGTATTAAATCCGTAGAGCGGCAGCCGGAGAAATGCGACGGTGAGAATGCAAGTTTACGCGACATCACGCTACCGACGCGCGGCGTCGCGGTCTTAAGCTGGGTTTCACGAATCACATATTTTGCGGGCGACGGCGGCGCGGCTTTTGTGACGGCGGAATCGCGCCCGCTCGTGCCGGTGAATAGGATTTTCGCCGACAATGCCCCCTCCTCCCCCCCCTGACGACGGTGCGAAACTCGATATCGTCCGCAAAGTCACCGCCGCGCGGCACGGAATTCCCCGCGCCGCGAAGAATACGCGCGGCTCGTCGCTCTTCTCTCTCGCCCTCCCTCCCGCCCTTCGCGACCGCCCGTGCTTTCTTCATGGGCACGGTGTGTGTTTATGACGCGCGAATTCAAGTCGCGGGACAAAGTCGGGTGAATGGTCCAATTAGTGACCCCAAGTGACCTCATCAGCCGCGTGAAAGTAAATTCGTAAATCGATAATGTACATATCGGACTGAACGTACAAAGTTGATTTTTTGTTTTTTTTTGGAGACCTTGAGAAGTTTTCTCTATGATATCTTCTCGGAGATCAGACTGAGATACCACGTAAATACGTAAATTTAGTGACGTGACAGTTTTAGTTTTTGCTTTTTTCGTCGACAGTTTTCAAGAGGTCGAGTTGAATGTCTCAATCAGTGAGCTTCATGATGAAAATAAATTTGGGAATTAATAATACACGTGTTAAATACACAGAGTCGATCTTGTGGGAAAGTTTGAACATTTGAGTTTTTAATTGTACCACATTTTTTATTTATAGATGGACTCGAAATTAATCTCGAATAGTTTCTCAGAGATGACTGAGGTACCGTTTAGTGACATGACCGGTTACTGTTATCTTTCCATTGACAATTTAGTTTTGGAGAAATTAAAGAATAACAAATCTAACGGAGAGGAAACTGGTATTAAATAATACCACGATACAACTGTCACAAATTGAGACACTGTTGTTGTGCGCGTCGCCGCTCCGCCGTAAGCGATGACGTGTCCGTGAAGTTAGCACGACGTTTTAAAAATTATTAAAAAACAAGTGTTAGTTCCAGTAGCATTTTTCAGAGTTCTACAGTCCCCGATAAAAAGGAGAAAAAAAATCCGCACATTTTTTCAATTTCGATTTTTTGCTATTAAGAATACAGAACTCTTTTTTTTATTCTTATCAGGAACTGTAGAACTATGAGAAATGCTACTGGAACTAACATTGTTTTTTAATAAGTTTTAAAAGGTCGTGCTGACTGCACAGACACAGCAATGACGTCTCGGGGAAAGACGCGAGCGGGCGCGCTGGCGTACCGGATGCGCCGTCGCTTTCCTCTCGTCGAAACGACGCCCGCGCAATTTGCCGAGATAAGAGAACGCGCGCCATTCTCGTGTCGCTCGTCAACCGCGACGTCGCAACGTCGTTGATTCGCGGCGGATCGCTCAAATTTGATCGTCGCGCCGAGATATCGAGAAGAAAGGCTGCGTTTGTCGTGTCGTCGCGTGTCGTCGCCATCCGCGTTCACTCGTTCTCTCTCTCTCTCTCTCGCCCCGGAATTGAGAACACACACACATATAGCCCGGAAAAACGGTATCGGAGAATCGAGTTGAGCGTCGAGTCAGTTCTCTGTATTTTTGGCAGTCACATTCCTTCTAATTAACAGCGTTAGATCGCAAATCTGCTCTGGCGACGTGTCTACAAAAGAAACGAGAGAGAGAGCGAGAGAGAGAGCGAGAGAGAGAGAGAGAGAGAGAGAGATGGGGAGGGTGGTGAAGGGGTAGAGGCGAAACGAAACGAAACAAAACTGAAAGAGTGGAAGGGCGTTATCCGCTTTCGGCGATTCCTGTTTCCGCGCGTTTACCACCAACGCCGCCGTCGCCACCGCTTTTGCTGCACATGCGAGGCGAGTACGCGCGCGACTATGAATTACCGTAATTCTTATTACACACGGGGGACCGTCTGTCGGCGGGAGACGTGCTCCTTATTCCAGCCGGTGAACTCGAAAATGACGTATCCGGGAAGCCGTCTCCGGGATAGTTCTAAGCAGTCAATAGACAAGACAATGCCGGCGAGCGCATAATCCGGAATAGTTCCTGCATTTTGACGTCGGATACAGGTTTCCCGACGCGCGAGACAGACAGAGAGAGAGAGAGAGAGAGAGAGAGAGAGAGAGAGAGAGAGAGAGAGAGAGACAGTGGGAAGGCGAGAGACATTATTATTCCGTCTTTATTGCAGACTCCGGTTCTCCGTCTCCGTCTCTCTCGCTCTCTCTCTCTCTCTCTTGTACGCGCACTCTCTCTCCCTCGTGATCTCCGCCACCTTCTCTCACTCTCTTCGTCCGCCGCTCGCTCGTTTCCAGTCTCCGTCTCTGTCTCCCGCCGGTATAACGATATTGACGCCAGTCTTGCTTCGCTAACCTTCTTGTTATCCCCGCAGATTACACTTAGAACCGCCTCCGCGTAACGTTACGCGGCCGCGTAACACGTCGTGCGATGCAGCGCTCCCGCGTTGCCAGTAATGCGTCAGCATATGGCGCCGTAATATCTTATCGCTCGCGGATAATCAGCAGCTTACCACTGCGTTAGACGTGTATCCGGCGACCCGGAGAATTCGCAGATCCCCAGCGCTGCTACGTGTTAAAGACGCGCGCGCGCGCGAGTGAGCGAGCGACCATCTACGGAATCCCATCTACGACGCGTGCGCGCATCCCGGGCGATTGATATAATTCGCGACGGAATTCCGGCGCGTAAGAAATGCATACGCATTCGGCATTTACACGCCGAAAAATCGCCGAAGACGCGGAGAATCGCGCGAGACGCTATCCTGCGCGTCTCGAATTCGCGCCGCGACACAGTATTGTGATATACAGAAAATTGATGTTCGAAAAGCAGCTACGGCATTCAATTTTCAACCGATTGGAACGATTTTTTGTTTGAAAATGAAGATGAGAGAATTACCTACGATCCTACCGAGCGATATTTTCGATATCAGGAATCCTAACCAAATCCTTAATAGACAAAGTATGAAATATTGATACTGATTTTCAGAAGATGATTTTTTCTACTTCTGTCAACGCGCAAACCATTACGATTGCCAAACTATGAATCCATGGATTGTAAATCTTGTACTGTTCGACTCGTAAACTCCAAACCTGCGGAGCAAGCTGCAAGCTGCAGAAGCAAGAAACAAGGAAACTCGCAGATTCAGACGGTTCAATGCGCGAAAAATTTCCCGAGTAGCAACGAATGAAGATTTAATGCATAAGCTATTGATTTCTTCGGATTTATATATCGCGAGGGTAAGAAGACATTGGAAGAAAACCAATACCACAGTTTGGCAATTGTAATGGTTTGCGCGTTGACGGAAGTAGAAAAAATCATCTTCTGAAAATCAGTATCAATATTTCATACTTTGTCTATTAAGGATTTGGTTAGGATTCCTGATATCGAAAATATCGCTCGGTCGAATTGTAGGTGATCTTCTCACCTTCATTAAAAAGGAAAAAGAAATCGTCCCAATCGGTTGAAAATCGAGTGCTGTAGACCTTTTCGAATATCAATTTCCTGTATCACAGCACTGTGCGCGAGTCGCAGATCGCAGATCGCCGAGATGAGATAATCGCGCGCGCTTGCCTTGCCGTTGCAGTTGCCGCTATTCGCACGATATTTCTTGTCTTACGCAGTAGAAAGGGAAAAAATATCGAGATCTCATGCGCCGGTGGGCCGACACTAAATTTTGCGAAGAAATAATTCGTTTGATGTGTGTTGCTTGTTGGCGAACTGGAAGCGCTGATTCATTGTGCAAGAGAAGAATTGAGAGTGAGGCTCTGTGATAAACAGTCAAAGGGAAATTTCGTCGTGGAAGCTTGCAGCAGTCCTGCAACAGAACTTGCGTTCGACAGTTGTTGACTCTCTTGTAACGGATCTTTTTAACTAATCGGCACACACACACACACACACACATATTCCCTTTCTCTACATTTATGTACTTCGTTTGTTATCTTCGCCTCTGAAACGTACGACGTAAGAGTGTCAGATGTAAAAATTAGCGGAATAATAATTAAAATAATGAAAGGATATGTAAGACACGTTTTCGTGCAAAGTGTAAAAATTAATATATTCTCACGCGACATCCTTCGCCTGTCTAACACATTAACGCGCATTAAGTGTTGCTCGAATCACGCTTAAAGTCGAGGCGACCAAACACCGCAATAAAAAAACGTATATACAACTGTCGATTAAAGTCACTTTGACTTGTAATTTAGAGCGGATCTTTCTGGACGTAAAATTAACATTTTACTCATCGTCGTCGTATAAAATCGCCCAAGCGCACCGAGAGAACTCAGTCTGATACTTGCGACTGTAATCGCGTAACGAAAGCGTCACGATCAGCATTTCCGCGGGGAGCGTTAATTACACACACACACACAGTGTCAGCGCGACGATAACCTCACAGGAATATCGCCGTTGCTACTTTCCTTTTTTTCTCAGGCAGGACGACAAGACAAGACAGTTGACGCGCCGAGAGGAGAACTCTCTCCGTTCTCTCTCTCCCCGCGCGACCTCCGCGGTAACTGCGCCGCACACGACGCACAAAGCGTGCACGATCGTGGAAAATCGCGCGGGAGGGTTCGAGGGGGAGGGAGGGGGGGGGGCGACCTGACCTCAGCGAAAATGAGCTTCGCGAGTTCACGTGACGGCAGCTCGCAGCTCGCGCACGAGAACGTGCGCTCACGAGAGAGAACGTACGTACCTCCTTGACCGTCCGGGATTAACCGAGCCAGCCTGTTGACGTCGTTGCCGGCGGGATCGAAGGGCGCCAAAGAGCTCTCGTTGACTCTGAGGAAAGCCTCGCACTCCTCCGTTTTTCGTTGCAGCTCCCGCCTTCAACAATCAAAACGAGAACGCACTCGTGAGAATCGGGAAAACGGTTCGCGCTCGCTCGCTCGCTCGCTCGCTCGCTCGCTCGCGCCCCCCTGCGCGACTCTATTGTAATTAGCGAAACATTTGCAAGTCGTTTAGCGGGGGGGGGGAGCGGAGCGGAGGTGGCGCAAGAACGTTATGAATATTCCACGTATGTCCCGCGTGTGTCTCGCTCGCGCGCTGCCGTACTTCCGGATAAACACTCGCGGAGAGCCGACGAGCTTGAAATTACTATCTTCTCGAGTTTCACGAAGTAGACGCAAATACTATGGAGTTTCGCGCGACTGCGAGATATACTCGCTATATATGTATACACGCGTACATATCCGGTGTGCAGGCGTCTATAGGATATTTGACGTGACGGAAGCACTATTGATACAAAGATCGCGCGCGTGCACGTGCACATACGAGAGTCGATAAAGCGAGAGGGCGAGCGAGAGAGGAGCGGGAGGGGAAGACACACGGATATTCCAGATATGCACGTACGTATATTCATAATTGAGAAACTTCGCGGAGAGGCATTGCGAATTTATCGGCCGCGATGGTCCCGAGAGCGCGGAGAAATGTGCCGCGCTCTCGGGGCCGCCGTTGCTTTTTCCAATAATCTCCCGGAAAAATGTCGGCGCTCGCGAGCGGGAGAGCGACGCGCCCGCGCCGTCGCCGCCGTCGCCGCGCTGGTTGTCACGAATTCGCGCGTCCTTGGATCGCGCGAAAAATCGCGTGCGACGATTTCGCGCGGATTCGGCAGGCGCGGCCGTCGAGCCGCCGCGCCGCGCCGCGCCGGTGGATGAAAATTAGTGTCGAACGGAAATAACGTCAGTGTGTGTGTGTCTGTGTGTCTGTGTGTGTGTGTTCTTGCTATCGCCGCGGTCCGCGAATCCGTAACTTCCTGCCGCGCGTGCACGTATGTACGTACGTAAATTTCTCGCAAGCCGAAGGAAACTGCGACATAAATCGTGCTGCGCAGGCACGGTCTCGCGGCGGAAATAAAAGAAAAGGAAAAAGAGCGGGCGGAGAGAAAGGGTACGAGAATGGGAAAGGGGGAATGGGACCTGGGCGGAGAGGAGAGGCCGAGAGGCAGGGAGAAAAGTCACGCCGCCGGAGAAAGTCGCTTGGAAATTACAATATTCATTTCGATAAGAGGAAACGGCGCGATCGTGTACGCTACTCTCTCTCTCTCTCTCTCCCCCTCTCTTTCTCTCTCTTTCCTTCTTTCTCTCTTTCCCCGCATCCGGAGAGTAATTTATTATCTCGATGCGTGCCTCGGCGAATTACGCGCCGATTTCGCGAGTGGCTTGCCGCGAACTCCTTCCCCGCCGGGTGGCGTCGCGCTTACGCACGCACGCACGCACGTCCGTCCGATATAAACACGCTCGTATGATAATGCCGGCGCGGTGCAAAATACGGCCAATGATTCGGCCAATTAAGACCTGACATTGCGAATAATTAGCGACATCGTTATTTCGCGATAATTTGATTTAGGAAGTATCACCGGCGAACGCGAGCCGAAGAGAGAGAGAGAGAGAGAGAGAGAGAGAGAGAGAGTGCGCTGACAATGATACAAAGTCGAGCTCGGGTAATTGAAACCCCCGTTCGGAGGTAAATCGGACAACGGAATAATTTCTCAACGGATGAAATTAACGACCGTGCTCTATAACATCGTCAAAGCGACGGCGAATTTTCGTTTAATGCGCTCATCATAAAATCATCGCGAGCCGCTGCTACCTGCCGATTTCGTCATCGGAAATTCATCGCGCCGCGTCTCCGATAAGAGAACAGAGAAAAGGAGAGAGTATGAGACAGACAGACAGACAGAGAGAGAGAGAGAGAGAGAGAGAGAGAGAGAGAGAGAGAGAGAGACAGAGAGAGAGAGAGAGACAGAGAGAGAGAGAGAGAGAGAGAGAGGGAGGCAGACAAAAGCAGAGAAAGAGAAAGAGAAAAAGGCACGGGGGTGAGCGAAGTTCGCCGGTCGTCAAATCTTTCTCGTCGTACGCCCTCGGCCGGCTTTAAATATAGAAAACGCGAATACGATGCGAGACGGGGATAATATCGAAACGTACACGACGTCCGTCGGGTACGCGAGAGCGAAAATACATCGTCGGCGGTGCGGTAGCGCCCGAGCTAAGGTCGAAGCGGTTTAACGTCGCGGTTTAACCGCTCCCGAAAGGCTTGCTCCATTATTTTGGATTTTCCTCGCGAAATTGTTCCGCGGCGGCTTCATTCCGGTGCAGCCCGTGTTGACGAATGGCCACCATCGCCATCACCATCAGCGCCACCGTCACCGCCGCCGGCGCCGCCGCCGCCGCCGCCGCCGCCGCCGCCGCCGCCATCACCACCCTCGGGCGGATTTGGTATCAAATATTATCCATTATTAAACGCACTGCGGAGCACGTCGTGCGTCCGTCGATTTTGCAATATTTTCCCCGCTTCGACGACGTCAGAGCTCCGCCCGCGCCCCGGCGCCCCGCAACGGGGAACGGGGAGGGGGGGGGGAGAGGAGAGCGAATTCACGGGTTGTCTTTCTTTCGATACACGGCGCGATTTCACTCGCTCGCCCACCTGAGGGATTCCTCTCGCTGGGGGAGTGCGACGCGCCAGGGTATTCCTGGCGATTAGGGTTGACAACTGCGCAAGACGTGGGGAAACAAATATGTTGAAGGACAGCTTGAACGCCGATTTTTAGCTGTGAGGATATCTCTCGTGGTGATCGCCATCGACATTCGCCGGGGCGCTAAAAGATCTTCGCGAGCGAGCTTCGAATTGAAAACTTCGCGTTCCCTTCTCGTCAGAAAAGTTCAGTTTGCTCGCGATACAATCGCAGTTGAGTGATTCGAAGATCGAAATTCGAAATTGAAAGGAAACGAGATATTACCGGTCTTGGAATTTCAATCCTTGAGCATTCCGCCCTTGGAAAATTGCAAGGATTTTAAGGTTGCGTTGCACGACGCGCGAAGTTTCTCAGCGGGCCCGCGGCGTGGACGAGAAGGACGCTGCTGCCGATTGCACAGGATAAACTGATAATTGCGCAGGACATCGAGAAGCAGACGGGGATGGTTCAGACGCGGACTCGTCTCCGACGGTGCCCAAGCGAGGATATTATCCGCGGAGATCGTTATCGGCTGGCTCGGCGGCGCCGAGTGTCTGCGAAGGCGAGCGCGGGGTCGAAAATTTCGCGGGTGACTTCAATTCCATTTCCGCAAAATCGGGATCCCGAGTTAATACGAGGCTGCAGCGAGACAGAAACGAGATGTTATTTACCTTCGCGCTCGTCCCCGAAAACTCTCAACTCTCCAAGATTCCCCGGACTTTTCGCGTCCCCGCGAACGTTTCCCCGCCGTGAAACGCCGCACATGTGCGCCGAGAAAAACTCCCTATATTTCGCGGCGCGACTCTTCCGCGACAAGTCGTCGAATCGAACGATCCTCTTCTTCTACTCCAGTCCCCCTTCGCTCTTGCCTTGCTAGCGTGAGCTGCCGCGTCGAAGTAATACGGCGGCGGCGGTGTTTCGTCGATAAGTAACGCCGTACAACGCCGATATTTCGGCGATTTTATTATCTTCCCCGACGGGGGCGGGGGGAACAGAAGGAGGAGGAAGCGCGCGCGATCCGCGGCGAAAGAACGTTCGGCGAGTTTCGTGGCCGCCGCCGCCGCCGCCGGAAATCGTCCATATCCCATTTCCCTCCCGTGGAAGCGACGAGCAGGAAACACAGCGTAGCTCTCTGTTTTCCCTATAAATTCAATTCAGCGCACGTCGGATATTATCGGTTATTAAAAGTAGCCCGGCGTGTACGTGCGTGCGTGCGTGCGTGCGTGCGTGCGTGCGTGCGTGCGTGCGTGCGTGCGAGCGCGCGCGTGATCTGTCGATATTTTCTGCTCCATGAACACTCTTTGGAAACTCTCGCCCTCCCACTCACCCCCCCTCCCCCTGTCCCCCTCGATGTTTCTCTTTCTCTCCTTCCCCCTTCTCTCTCTCTCTCTCTCTCTCTCTCTCTCTCTCTCTCTTGCTCCCCTCTTCTTCTCTTCCCCTCTGTCTCCGTCTGTCTACCGCGTCCCACCCCCCGCGCCGTCCTGCTTTGCCTGGGTTAATTCCGGGGTTACTCGCGGAGCAGGGAAGGTCGGCGGTGTCGGCTTCGGATCATAGCCACGCAATATATAGATCGAAGCGACATATCGATCGATGTGGACGGGAGTGGAATAATAATTTGCACTGTTATTGCGAACCCATCCGGTGAAATCAAACCGGGCCGACGTGTTCGCTCCCTCTCGCGCGCGCGCACACACACACACACGCGCTCTTTCTCTCTCCCTCTTTCTTGTTCCCTTTTTCTCTGCATCACACTGTGACCTGCTAGCTGTCCTGGCCTTCCTCTCGTTTTCTCTCCCCTCCCCCTCTTTCTCTCTCTTTCTCCGCTGCCCTCTCGTTCTTTCTCTCCCTGTGCCGGCTCTTGTCGTTCATTGTCTCCTCCCTTCGCTCTTTGCCGGCCGTCCTCTCTTTGTCTCCTTTCTCTTTCGTCCGTCCTTTCTTTTGAAGGTAGAGTAAATGCTTCTATTGATCCTTTCTCATCCTTTCATTCTCCTCCCTCCTGTCCCCCCCCTCCTCTCTCTCTCTTTCTCTGTCTACCGTTTTCTGCAGCGATTTCTACATGTGCACACGTTAGACGCGCGCGTTTTGTGCAGCGCGGACGAGTGCAGCAACTGCGAATATGCGAGTGACAAGTGGCGATCGATTGGAACTCATCGTCTCCTCGGCGGCGGCCACCACGTCGACTCGCAAAGACGCTCCGCGTCGGCGATGGAAAAATACTCTCGGCACGCACTCGCCGCGTCATAATGGCTTCATCGTCTCAGACGTAATGGCATCCTCGAGACAGAGGCGAGCGAGTGAACGAACGAGCGAGCGAGCGAGCAGGCGAGAAAAAGCAGAAGAGCGGCACCGCATAATCCCGCGCGACGTCTTCGAT